CAGGGCTGCTGCGCATTTGGGGAATTCTGCCTCAGGGCATCCACCGCAGCTCCCGAAGCATCCTGCTCTCCAGGACAGATACCAGCAGCCAGCTGCATGGCTGACACCTCGCACCCTTACACTACTCGGCTGAGTCAGTAGGAGAAACCCACCGAATCCCAGGCTTGTGACCCTGGCACAGCTTTGGCTGCACCACCCAGCCCCGCCACAGAAGGTGCCAGGCTCAGCGCGGGCAGCCTGCCTGGGGCTGCCCTGATTAAGGTACTGCAGGCAGGCAGATGTGAGGCAGCATTCCTGGGGCTGAAGGATGAACCGATGTTAACTGCAGAGAGCTGCTCCTCAGCACATGGCCTCATCACCGGGACAGCCTGGCCTTCAGAGGAGCTCAGGTCACAGCAAGACTGGATAGTCGGGCCAGGGGGACAAGCATCACAAATGGACCTGAGACTGGCACTCCTCATCACCCCAAGAGCTCTGCTGGGGATCCCAGTTGGCACAAGACATTTGGAGGACAGTTTGCTCTCCTATGTCCTCGAGGTGAACACCCCTGCAGCTGCAGCAGGGAAGCTTGGCAGAGGCACGAGCTGAGACCCTGCCACGGTGAGCACCTACCCCAGGGCCTGCCAGTGCCCACCTCCCAAATGGTACTGACAGGTAACAGTGGGCACCATCCTTCCTTTGGCGGCCAGGCCCGGTCCTCACCACGCTGCTCCCACACATTCCCTCCTCCAGGAGAGCTGTGGGAGCGCACGGCTGTGAAGACAATGCCATCCATCCTCCTGGCTCTTCCCAAGGCGTTCAGGACAGGTGCCAGCAAGGACAGACGAGCCCCACGCAGAGCGGGAGCGACATGACCTTGTATCCAGCACCCCATCTGCAATACCTGGTCTGCTGTTAGAGACACACCAGCGCTTCCCTCCACACACACAACTATTTCAAACACAAAGAAAAGGCGTTTTCCCTAATTCCAAAGCAAAGCCGCTCTTAACAGAGAGAGAGCTCTCTACTTCCTGCGGGAAGCTCTGCTGGCAGACAAACTGCAGCAATCCACAGGCAAGGGGCAGACAGACAACAGCCCTTCCTCAGTTTACCTGCTGGATCTTGTTCTGCCCGGCTGCATGGATCGGAGTCAAAGGAAGCTGCTCGGAGGCAGGGAGCAGGCAAAGAAACAAAGGCAGGGAGAATACCAGCCAGCCCAAAGGAACAGTGGGGAAGCTGGTAATTGGGCCATGTGTGTTTGGCTTTCACCAGACTAGCAGGTTTGTTTTTCCCAGGCTGGAGCCTAGACTGAAAGAGACACAAAATTATTAAAGAACTCAACGTAGAAAGGAGGAAAAAAAAAAAGGAAAAAAATGTTAGCAGCAACGGCTGGAGGTGAATCTCAAGTAATGGGAGTGCGGTGGGGGCTCACTGTTCCTTTCCAAGGGCATAGATGCCTGGGAAATTATTTTCAATAGGCAAAGAAAAATGAAGTTTGGATAAAATTCATTCCAGTTGACTTTTATTGCTAGTTTAACTCACTTCTTAGCTGGGAGCCTACTGGGCAGGATGCAGAAAGGTAGAACTGTGCCTTCCTGGTCCCTTTCTTGTTGCAAGAAGTTTCCTGCAGAGATCCAAGTCTAAATGAGACCTGTTGATGAGGCAGATGCAGAGCCACTCTCAAGGATTCCCCCGCAGTGGGGCTGATCCTCAGTCCTTTTACCAGGCAAACATTGCAAGGAGCTGTACATTTACCTGCAGGTCTCTAGCACTTCTGGCAGGCAGGACGTGTGTGGGAGCTCAGCACAGCAGAACTTCCCTGACCCACACCAGCTGAGGGTTTACTCACTGCCACACTCAGAGCCACTTCCCAAGGAGCCTATGCTTTCTTACAGAGATTTATGTAACTAGACTGACTCAGGTGTTTGACATGAAGGAGGTATTTCCAGTAGCCATGCTTGTTCTCCAGGGATATAGCAAGTGCCTTCTGTGCATGGAGGGGTTCAGAGAGGCACTGACAATGCAGCACTGGCTGGAGGAACAATGGCAGGTAGAGAAAACTGTATTTGAACATAATATACAGAATCAAGACAAGGTAACAGCTCATGTAGGGCCTTGGTTTTCCTTCATGTGTTATACTCCTTCCTTAATACTCTTATTATTTAACTTAAACAACAGCTCATTACCAGCAACTGTCAGTTGTTGCTGGTCCTGATGGATTAGCTGCTTGCTGGCATTTTTCTCTGAGAAATTTTAAATGACTAGCATTAGGCAAACTTTCATCCCACGAGTGGTGCTTTAAAAGGCACAGGCAGTTCTTTTCCAGGAGAAGCTGGAGAATTCAGAAGGCATAGTCTCAAGCAGAGCAGAACGCCCACTCAAGTTTCCCAAAACCAGACTTTGGTTGTAGTTACACAATTGATATTGAGATGAGTGGTCATATTGCTGCTGTAGCACTTTCTGCAGGCAAAAATTTTAAGGCTTTCTTTTAATCAGTGCTATGTGCTCTTTAACATCTACCCTTGATTATTTCCTATTGACAGTCACTAAAACAAAGTGTACATTAATGCAGACAGGATTTTCATTCATAGATGGCGAGCTACAACAGGATTATTTGCAAAGTGCAAAGATCACTCACATGAATAAAGATTTGGTGGATCAGTGACTCCACTGGTAAAATGACTAAAATCCTTCTTCAAACACAATCCAGATATGTTTTCTTGCTACTTATCCAAGCAAGTCCACTTTTGTTTGTTCCAGCTTAATTAACTGAAAGCACATAATTATTTGTGAGAGCTTTGACAGGACAGGAGAGGAAACACGCTTTTTGGTGATCAACTCGCAGCCACAAAAAAAACACCCCAAAAACCCCAAACAAGTTCTGTGCAGGAAAAGCAACCCCCTCCTGCTACATTATTCCATTGATCTACAAACATTTACATCTCCTTTGTTAACTAGTTTTCTGCAGAAATTTCATGATCACTAAGGAACACTCTTTCAACTGCACCTCAAGAAACTCCTGGTTTAAAGTGATCCAGTCTAAAAAAGAGGGTGTGTTTTTGACTTTAAGTCATGTTATACATGAAATTTGTCAGGCTTTTCTTGGACGCTCATGATTCATTGTAAATAATTCAAAATGGATTTACAAAAGAGAAGAGGCTGTACAATGAATGTAAGAACTGCATGTTACTATCTCTCTGACAGCCAAAAGTAACAAAAGCATTTCATGAAGGCTACATAAAACGTTTTCTCCCCTTTCACATTGTTTTGCGATCTACATTCAGTACCAGATTGACGAAAGTGAAAAGTTGGAGGATTTCTATCCAACATAATAATAAAGTCTAGTGAGCAAATTTTCTGGCTATGGCAAGAGAATAATCTCACCTGAATAAACTTTATCCACATAATGTGCACTGAAACTAAACACAGACAACATTGGCAGCTCACAGATTAACAGGGAACACCTGTGAAGTACGGATGCAGCAACACTAAGGTAAGGTACATTCCCTTCCCATGGGACTAACTAGGGAACCTGAGACCAAGAACATACTTTTTATTTACGTATTTATTTAATTACAAGGCACTTTTACAACTAACAAGTGCACAGCAGTTAATAACACATTTGGAAAAGTCATGTACAAGTCTTAATTTTCAGGGTTAAATCCTATCTTTAAGTTGCCTTATAAACATGATGCTGGGGCTGCACAATATGAACAACTGCAGAAAAAATACAAAACTGGCTTTGTGCACTCAAGTTCTTATTAAAAATTAAAAGTAATTAAAATTATTTATTAGTTATTAAAAATTAAATTAAAATTTAAAAAATTAAAAATTAGTTATTAAAAAGATTAAAAAGTAATCACTGCGCTCCCTTTCAAGTTTACCCATTCTGTGATTCTATAAAGAATTAAGGACAGTTAATGAGCAGGAGAGGATTTTGGTTTTACTAACTACGCTTACAAAAGACAGCATTAAAAGATGGAATTAACCAATGCAAGATTAGTAATTCCTGTGTATTCTGTAACTTAGAAAAATGTGGAGTTAAATCTGAACCTACCACCACCACTGATGAAAAGCTTTCCCCAGTTATCAGTGCAGGCCATGTCATATCCTTTAGCTGAGCATTTCCAGTAGGCAAACATTATCAGCAATCCAGACTAATTTTGAGAGCATGCTCTAATCAATTTCCTTGCCTGAAAATCTGGCATAAATTAATACAGCATCAACAACAACCCTCATCCCAAAGTGGTGTTTGAAGGCCTGAAGAGCTGAAAGCTCTCTAGACAGCATATATCAGCACAAGGCAGACCAGCAAGAATTCAAAGCTTTTTTTTTCTGTGGAACATCTCCAGTCCAAATCCTGAACAATGGTGAGATGAATTCTCTGCTTCAAAGTCACATCCATCCAGCACTGTCACTGCAGCAGAATTCAGTCTGTATTATAGCTGCTGTCCTTCCAAAAAGGATTATTAAGGAGTGCACAACAGTGCATATAAGGACTATTGCATATAAGCAATGTAAGGACTGCAAACATTATCTGTTTATTTAAACTGAAGACAATCCATATATTCTCCAAAGATACTACTTTTTAACTGATCCCACTTAAATAATTGCAAGGTTTCTGAAAGGCTGAGAGTTCTATTTTAGTGCTGTGGGTCTTGCAGGGAAATAGAGAAACTGTAACTCCTCAGGGGAAACGCCAAAGTATCCCACCTGGTTGGATATGCTGACCCTGGCAGCCTCCAGAGGGCTCAGCGCCAGTATAACTACCTTCCCACTACTCAGAAGAGCAGCACCAAATCCAGCCAGAGCAGACCTCGACTTTGTCCCTCCCATGTGGCAGCCGACACAGCTCTCCGAGAGGCAGGTAAGTGCCGAGGCGAGGTGCTCACACGTCTATAGGTGGCACTCTTGCTCTGACTCAACACGGACGGGCCATGGAGCCCCGCTCCTCCCGTCCCTTAGAGCCCCTTAACGTCTCACTTAAGACACCCATTAAAAACATTCATTCCACAGGGCACTTTCAATGAACGTTGTCGATTTTATTGTCAACACACTCAAAAACAAACCGATGTTGAAAACAATTATTTCTGAGAACAGTAAAATACAAAATATTTCACGCACAAGTTTGTTAATGTAACACAAACAGAAGTGAGACGTAGAAGATGCCAATGCCTATCATTTGTGCTCGCAGTGACAAGTTTAGGAACTGTACCACCACAGAATTGTCACATAGGCTTGGAAGTGAGCATTTGACAGTTTAAACATCACCTCTGTATTTCTGGTATTACATATTTACTTGGAAACTTTCTAGCAGTAGACAGAAAATATGAAGATTTTGTCTTCAGGGTTTGTTTTGAAAGCACCATGACAACAGACTGTTCCGACTACTTCCTTACAGAGGGAAGTCTAAACAGAGACAATTATTGCAGTTGCAGCTTTTTAGGGGTAATGTTTATTGTTATCTATGATAGGTTTGTGAATACACATTAACAAACAAAAACAGTATTTCCCAGAAGTCGCTCCTGGAAAGCAAAACCAGCATTGCCCATTTTAAATTTGTTCTTTTTACATTAAAGGAAGCAATTTCTTATATTCTATACAAAATGCATATCCTTGGTCAGGCACCGACCAGCTTTCTCCTAAATTCTAACCCAAATAAGCAAAACTTCTTTATTGGTTAGCAGCAAAGAAGTTCTGCAGACTTCACACAATAAATATAATTCTGCTTAATTTAAATTTATTTCCAAAAGAGTGACATGATTTATATTAGACAGTGACACACATATCACGCTCCATCACCAGGACCCTAAGCTTAGTCAGAAGGGGAGAGAGGAATGGAGTAAAGGGAATGTCTGTTCTAAAACAATTGAATGCTTTATGCTGTACTTTGCTTTTCTCAAAGGTCCCAAAGAAAAGTTTCTAAAGCTGCCTCAAGGTTACTTCCCACACAGGCAACTTGGTTCAAAACTCAAGTTTGAACATCAACTCTTCTTGAAAAACTGAGACACCCCTGCTTTCCTACACTTAATGACGTTCCTGACTTGTTACAACACATACTTGTCACTCATCTCTTGCTTGATCGCTTTTCATGTTTATCCTTTGTGTGCTGGCTCCTGCTCTGGTGCCTTGGAGGAGAGTAGCTGACTCTCCTTCTGGACTGAAAGCTGGGTGTATATGGGTGAATTCTGCGTTTCTTTGGTTTTTCTTCTTTCCTGCTTTTGTTTGGCTCAGACTCCTTATCATCTTCCTTTTGCTCACGCTCTTGGTCTTGTTCTTTTTGAGATGGCAATGTGTTTTTGATGGTATTAATAAGAAATCTTTTGTTTGTACCAGCAAGAGGACACTTCAACCTGTAAAGACATTTAAAAGTGATCAAAAGAGAAAGTAAAAACATCCCAAAACAAGTCTGAGATTTTAACTTCAGTGATTTTAAGACAGGTTTGTGATTTTGGCTTTCCTTGCATGCCACCTAGTGTAAACTCTCAGTACAGAAAAATAAGTTCCAGATCATCTCCATTCTCCTTTTGTCTTACTCTTTATGGGAAGAAAATTATTTTACTTCAACACAGTGAAAATCTACATGATTTTCACAAGGTAGCGTGTACAGGGAGAAGCAAAGGATGACAATATGTTTTAGGTTAATGGTGCCTAATTTAGTTATTCAGAAATCAAACTTTTAGTAACATATTCTAAGTCAAATCAGAATGGCTTACAGAGATCAAAGTCAACATTATCTAGTGAACTGCAATATTCAGAAAGAAAGATACACATGCATGAAGAACCCAAGCAGCTGTAGCATAAACATGTGAGACATACCAATTTAAACTTATACTTAGCAATCACCAAAGTATTTTCTTTTTCTTAAACAGTAAATATACTTATCCAACTATTTTCCTTTTTTTCTTTTACTTTCTCTTCTCCCACCTTCAAAACTTTTGCGCATAATTAATCAGCCAGTTTTAGGAAACGAGTATGTAAATTTAATTTATCCTGTTGGTATCAGCTGTACTCTACTTACTCCTAATTTATCATCTCTTAAAGAAAGGAATAAGAAAAGACAAGTTTAAATATGTTCCTATAGAAAGAAGAAATCACTCTGAAGACTTTGTTTATAGCTGGAGTCACTGTGGTGTTTTTGAGACAAGTTATGGGACTGCTTTTAGAGATCACAGCCACTTACAGAATCAACCACAGTCATGGAATCCTAACACCACAATGTTAAGAACATCTACTTGAATATTTTGTTTAAGTGTAGAAATGATATCCTAACTACTCAAAAAAACCTTTGACACCTCTAAATCATCAGAACTATCAGAACAACAAGAAAGCTACAACAAAGATCACGTATGATTATTTAGCATACTTCATGACTTAACTGAACTTGGAATTTACCATGGTGTTTTGCTTCACGTCTGCCTACTAGGAATTCCTGATAATTATTCTTGTCCTAAATCCTCCAAGAACTTCGGAGAGCAGTTTTAGAAATATAAGCCATACTGTTTTATTTCCATGAGGTATTTTCTGATACATTTCTATTGCATAGAATTTTAGAATGTTCTAAACTTTCTTCATATAAATTTACACTATTTTTCTCAAATCCTGGTTTAAAATAAATCTTTAATCTACTATAACTCTTTCATAAATTAGAGAAGCTATTTATCCATTAACTGTGTTACTGAGTAAAAACATGAGGCTAATAAATGTCAGTAGAACAGGGTTTCTACTTTAAGCTACACCACCATGGTGCTGAACGAGTCATGGCACAGGTTACACTCAAGACATAACAGAAACCAGCCAATATTAAAGTCCTTTGTATGTCTTATGAGTGCATTAAACTATTGTACCTCAACATTTCCTACCAAGGAGGGCAGCCTTCTCTAGGCTGCATCCAGACAAAATATATTTCACATTTGTTCTTCCTCTTGCTTTTTCTTAAGAGCTAATGCACTGATTTAAGCACTAAGATATATAATGCTAGAATGAGACAGCCAATCTGCCCTAAATAAATCCATCTGGCTGAACCATTTCTTTTCAACATCCTGAGTGCTACCTCAGCTATACTAAGAATGAAATCTGATGAGAAATGCTAGATTTGAGAGTCAGCTAAGAGATGCCATTAGTTTACCATCATACTGTGATTAAAGTGAGCCACCAGGCTTTCATGGAGCAGCAGTAAGTCATGGTGCTGAAGAAAAACATCATTTCTTAGTTTTATTGACTTCAGACTTCAACAAAGCAAATCCTGTCTTTAAATCTTAAAGCAAACTAGATGCATGGCATCTTGTGCTACATTATATGCATACACAGAGCACACATTTACGTATAGCCATGGTATACATGGAACTGTGCAGATTAAAAGTGAACTGCATGAATCCACTGATACCTTTGAGAGCACCTCTAATGATGAGGAAATAGACATCTCCAAAGATCAGCCTTAGGTTTGCTGTAGGGTCTGATCCTGCAGTGCTCAATTCACAAACAAGTTTGCCCTCAGGTGAGTTCTGAAGGGCTGGGACTCAATCTCAGCCTGGGCACTGTGGAACAGTGTGATCAGCAAACAATGCCACAGAACTGATTTGAGAAGCTTTGCTTTAAAACAAACAAACCAGCCAACCAACCAGCAAAAACCAGACAAGTTAAAAGAACATTAAAGTTCGGAATTGAAATGTGCCCCAAACAGACATGTTTGAGGCAAGCACACAAGCTGCAGTCTAGAGCTGTCCCGTCTACCAGACTCCAGCTCTGGTGCAGAGTATTCACCCATTGTAAGGTTCACTTTTTGCTCTGCATGCTCCAAAAGTTAGACCAAGCTATCCTCACCAACAGAATCCTGCCTCCCCCCACAAATAAATCTCTCATCCTCCAAAATCTCTCCACTATGCAATAACAAAGACAATGCAATGCATTGCATTTTGACAACTACCTTTTCAGAAAAAAAAAAATTAAATCCATCACTGTGAACACAGGTCAAATATTAACCCTATTTTTGACCCTTTAAGTCAGCTTCTGTGCAGTAACACAGAATTTCCAACCAGTGCCTGTCATGCAGTGCAGCAGTGCAGCTCAGCACAGAGATGTACTACACAAGTTCTTAAAAGTAAAAATATGCTGACACCATTTACGACTCGAGAGCACAGCGCCGTGTACCAGTCTTGTTTCTGCTGAGTAACTGGACACACCAAATGGGATTGGCACAGTCAGCCTTATCATACAGAGTAAAGCACATTTTTCCAGGAAAAAAGTTCACTGACAAGCACATTTCTACCATTTCCAAACTGCCATAGAAAATATCATATTTCAATAGAAAACCAACTGGAAGGGTGGGGGGGAACCATCTAGAGGTTGTTTTGCCAAACCAAGTAATTTATGCTGTTACTCTGTCACAGAGAACCTTACAAAAGAGGATGCTCAGAGGACACTGAAAGCTTTGAAATATTGTCTTGGCAGCCAGGTACAGCTGGAAGGACTTTGTAGGATCATAGAATCATCTGATTTGTAAGGGACCTTAAAGATGATCAAGTTCCAACCCCTCAGACAATGACACCTTTCACTAGACCAGGTTGCTCAGAGCTCCATCCAACCTGGTCTTAAACACTTCCAGAGATGAGGCATCCAGAGCTTCTCTGGGCAATCTGTTCCACTGACGACTTAGGATGTGCCCTGATTACAAGATTTCAACATATTTACTATTCAGATTCTATCTGTACCCTGTCCCTGCTCCTCCCCTCCTCATACTCAAATGAAAGCTGAGGGGAATCACACTGCAGTGTTTCTGCACAGTCAGACAACACCCATTCAAAGATGCAACACAGCACTTCACAGTGACAGTACCCTCATCATCATGATCATTTTGCATTCTGCTGCACTTCTAACAGATTTGGTATTGAACAGAAAGCTATCTATAGGAATGAAAGTAATTTTAGGATTGCTTTACAAAAAATAGAATTAAAAATAATTTTGTGCTTACAAATTTTTTCTTTTTTTGTTGTAATTTCATCTGCTCTTACAATGCAGAGTTGAACAAACCATTCAAAAATATCCTGTTTTCCAGTTCTTACTTTACATAAGCTTTTCAAGTAAGATGAGAAGCCATATTTGATTTAGCTTTAGCTCATGTTATCAGCATCTTTGAAGATCAGACCTATACACTGGAAAAAACCACATCTAGAACATTTTTCACACAGTAACTTTTGTGGCATTTTAACTGCCTTTCTTAAAGTAGAACAACTGCTTAAAATGGGACCTAACTTCACTGCTATAAAGAAGCTTATGAATTATGTACATAGAACCAAGAGAAAAACTTCAGGGAAGCTGAACTTCTGGTTTTATTTTAACTAGGCACAATGGAAACCCCCAAATAACCTATTTCATCTATGTCTAATAGCCTCTGATGAAACAAATTTATCTAACCACTTCAAATGTTCTTACACTATTTGTTCACAACTTCTCACTCTGGATCCAACTGATCCTTCAAATGTTAGCTTCCAGACAGCTGCTCTGATGACTTTCTCATCTCAGAAGCATCACAGCACCATCACTAGGATTCAGCGAGATTCTGCTCTGTTCTGATTAACATTTCCAGGATTAAGACACCTTCTTCAGAGTTCTTCTTTACCCTTCTCTCACACATTTCCTTATTTGTGATTAGCTGTACTAATGCCTGAGCCAGACACATTTGCAGCAGGATCTACATCATGTGTAAGGATTCAGGAGATTCAGGATAAGGATTCAGGAGACACCCCCCAACAATAATCACCATGGCCACAGAGGACATACAAAAGGAACACTGCAGGAACTAGAAACACTACATTGCTGAATGAAATCTACAAATAAGAATATCCACCATTTCCTGGATAAATTTACCATGGATCTACATACTGCCTGAGCAGTTCTGAGAGTATGGAGGCCAGTGACCAGAGAATCTTAACCAACTATGAGATCATGCAGCCCTCTGGCAATACTGACAGTTGCTCCATGTCCAGAGGGTCTCAGATAATTTCCCTTCACACACGAACTCTTGGCCAATGCCATTGCCAACCTCCCTGCTGGTTACTTGTTCCAAACAGGCACAAGACTTTCCTCCACTAGCCTCTAAGGTTGCAGCACCTTCCCATGTCACCCACATTAAACTTGTAAGACAATGTAAAACCAGAAAAACATTCCCAAACTGGAAGAAATACTAAAAATACTGTCCCATATTTCAAGGCTCAGTCTTTGTATGAGAGACTGGGCCGTAGGTCGATTGCTTTGTACATTTTTTCTGTACCTGTCAGGTAAGCTGGCTTGGATACTTGTATTTTAAGCTCCAGCAACAGCTGATATCCATCTCAAATTATGAGACAGCAAAAGGCCAGGCATGGGCGCTTGGGGAACTTTTTCAAACAGCGTTTGAGCTATGGCAAACTAATCACTCTGGACAATAACAGAGCAATGGCTTGAACCTGAAAGCAGTCCCAAAACAGTTCTGAGAGGTTTTCTGGCCAAGGTTTTGCTGCCATCAACATCCACCAGGAGACACTAGTCCTTGGTAATGGTATGCACAATACAGTCACCCCACCCAGGAATGCCACTTCTCCATATATCTCCCTTTCACCAACTTCTGTCAAATGCCACTGATTCCAGAAATGTATTTCTCAGTATTCAACAGCTGCTCAAGAGCAACATAAACTGGAATCAGTGAAGTATGAGCAGTAGTAGCCTCTGCTTCTCCTTACCCAAAGACAGATAGCAGAACAAATCTTTTCTTCATAGGTTGAGCTGCTTCAACTTTCCAGTGCCAATGCAGGACTGATGGCCTTACACTAGATGTCTCCAGGATTTGTGCATCTCTTCCCCAGGACTCCTCTGACAAAGGGCTAAGGAATCCCAGAAGTCCTCATGAAACACACCTGTAAGCATTTTGAGTTTGGCAAGGAAGGAAGGTTTTGTGTTTTACCTGTTAACACTGTGCTTTTAGACAAGTTGGTGATGACCTTGTCTTTGCTTCTATCAGTTATGATTTCCTCGATCTGGTCTACCAACAAACATTTTCACGAACTAACTTTTCTGCTCATTTCATTTGCTATCCACACAGCTTGGAGCAGAAGTTACTTTCCTCTCAGTAGTTTACACCTAGCAAGGTTACAGGTCAGTCCTGGATGTAATCTCTCAAGCCCTTCAGGATCAGTTACATTTGACAGCATTTTGCTGGTGTGATACTCAACTGAGCATAGTCAAGTCTTCTTCCAAATACCTTTTCCATTATATCTCCCATGTCTTTATGCAATACCTAGCTGTTGGGCCAGTTTAAAAGCACCAGAACAGGATAACAGGGCCAGTATATTTGAATAAAAAATATTAAAGAGGTGACAGCAGTGGCAGCTTCCAGTTGCTATTCTGTCTACTGTGCTGCAGAACTAGACAGCAAAAACTTTTGGAGAGTTTGCCTTTGGAAGGCTTTACACTTTCCTTACAGCCACACATGCCAGCCATACACTAGCTTATGCCAAACCCTACAGCAGTAGATTTGTCACAAATGGGATTGCTACCAGTCTCTCTAAAGATGAATTCAGTGAGGTAAAAATCCCTGGAAATGCATTACATACAAAGAAATCATCTCTAAGAGCATGATATCCTGACCTGCAGAAGTACCTTGAAGAAGGTAGTAGTGAGCCTATTCAAAGATATTCAGCAAAGCACTTCCTAGGCACCAAGTATGGGCCACTGATGGACACAGGGCACTGCAGAGATGGATCCTTAGTTTGACCCAGTACAGCTGTTCACATGTACCTCTGTAGATGAAAGTACTTCAACAGCCTCAGCTCAGGATATCACCATGCCAACCCCTATGTCTACAGTCCTTCCTCTGCCTGAAGCCTTCTTGACAGTCCTCTTCTCCTACAATGGACTGGCCAGACACTATTAACCTGTGACTGCTCTGAAGAACAGGTCACTCTTGCCTATCCCATTTCCCTGGCAGGCCTCAGGCACCAGGCTTTAGCAAACTGCATCCTGAGCCAATCATCACAGCCAGCTGAACAGGACCCACTACCCTCTTACAAACAAGGAATAAGAAGGAGCCACAATCAGGACCAGATGCCCATACACTCTACTGGCAGGTATTCCAGACTGCACAAGTGGCAGCAAAATTGTACAGGGACACCTGATTATCTCCCTGCAGAAATCTTTAGTTTCCATATCTAGAATCAGCTTGCAAATTCACAGTAACTCAATGCATATATCACTTCATGGTGCTAATTATGTGCACTGGGTTATCAGGCCACATGGCTAGGCTGACAGAGTCAAAGCAGGGTGGGTCAGTACAGCCATCAGTATAGCCACTCTAGGGGATTAAACCAATTAAGCTATTTTAACAGGTAAGTTATGACCTGCATCCCTAGAAGAAATACTGAGTAAAACATACAGAAAACCCCAAACCTGTTTGAAAACATAAAGGAATAACTTTATTTTCAGCAAGACACTATTTTAATCTCTTCAGAGTTACTAAAACAAACAGATAGCTGAGCTGAGGACTTCATGAACAGTGCAGGCTTATCTCCTGCTAATTGTTGATGGAGGAAGCCAAACCTTATCTACAAGTGCATTTAGTGCAGTCAACTGGTGCACTACTTGTGTGAACATGCCTAAATTAAATAGCTTCTTATCAAAGCCATATACAATATTTTATGATGAATGACTCTCCTCTGCATGTTATTACTTCTCTAATTATAATTACATGCATTACATTCCATGACAATCTAGCTATAAAATCTGGAATACTGCATTGAAGAATTAATGCTGGGTTTCATTTAAGATTTAAATACTGTGATTTTTTTTCCCCAGTTACTATACAAATTAGCTCCTGGGTTTTAGGGTTTTTTAGTATTAAAAAGTAACCCTCTTCCATGACTGGATTATACTTTTGAGCTCCTTTTTTTGGCTACAATTTACACATGAATTATCTACTGAAGGATAGTTTGTTGTTTTTTTAATATAAGGCTTTAGGTTTCTTTATCAGGTTATGAATTATTTTCACTTAAAACAGAGTCCAACCCAGTAACATGTAGCCAGTATGTAAGTACATGCACAGTGAAGACAACCAGCATTTTAAAACAACCCAAATTTTGCAATTCCATCTATCATAAGAACATATCCCAAATTTTCCAATTGCTATGTCTTCAACACATTCAGACGAGCAATTTCACGGAGACAGAATTTACCTGACCTTCTTTCTTATTTAGACTGGGATTTTTGCCAAAATTAGTATGTGGAAGAAAACAAATTATTTAAACATGAAACATGTAGAAAGATAGAGACTTCTGTCACACATTAAAGATAAGATTGATTTTGGTATCAGCATTCATTTCCTCTTGGCATGACTTACCAACCCATAGCTCCCATTGTTTCAGCTCTGGTTCTCCCACGTTTTGCTTCTTTAAGTAACTCTTCCACAGCCTTCCTAAGTAAGAGAAAAAGAAAAAGGTCACCGCTTGTGGAATACAAGAACTTGCCACTTTATGCACTTAGGCAAATAAAACAGATAGCTTTATTCACTGTAGTGAATTAAGGAATAAAGTAGCTACCAAAATCACCTTGACTTAAAGATAATTCAAATTCCTATGCACCACGATTAAGAGAAACATTCTGAAATATTAAAACCAACTAAAGCTGTTGCAAATACAAAAATTCTAACACTGAATGAAGGACCAGGCTTGGGGCAATTCAAATCCTTTTTAAGCAAACTTCTGCCTGTGAAGACAAGTTATGTATCCCGTCACACCACAGGCACTCATGGAAAAGGAGTAACTCCCAGGTAAGTCATCATCTGTCAGAGATACCTTCTCCAACATGCCAAGTACAGCGTCAGCAACCTCACCAGCTACTGCTGCCTTCCCAGGTAAGAGAATTGATGGGTGTGGGATGGCTATTTGCAAGAACACCAGAAAAAGGGTGCAAAACACAGGCTGTAACACTGAAATGTGAGAGGTGTTGCATACACAGGTCTTTGTGAAATTACAGAAAAATTTGTTTTTTCTCCAGACCCAAAATTTTCAGTCTGAGCATCCTGAGCTAGGTTATAGTGATGATGGCAGGAACGTGTGGCTTTTACAGAAGCTTTCCCTGAGACTTCTAACATCAATGTCAGACATAGGTGAGCAAAGAGGGGAAGAAAGTGTCTGACTTTTAATTACCAGTTACCAAACTTGGTGATTCTCTTTTTAAGAAACTTGACTAAAAGATTAAAAGCCTGTCATTATTATTGTAACAATTTATAATTGAAATATAAATTTAATAATTAAAATACAAATTAAATATAAATTTAATAATTAAAATTTAAATATAAATTTATAATCTGTAACAATTTATAATTGAAATAAGAAACCAAAAAATCTGAGCTACAGAGCACTAATAAAACACACATATAGGTATTTTAAACAGCTATGATTCAGTTTTAGGGAAAACATCATAATAAATTATAATGGTGACACCAATTCTATTAACTTAGGTAGGAATTACATGCCTTCAAGTATCTGAGACTTTCTTTTTTGTTATATCTAAACTCAGATTGACTTGGTATCCAATTTAGCAGCCTTCTAGGTCCACACCTTCATTATCAAACATTGTTTCCTAATACTGGTCTTTCAACATTGCCCTTATTCACCACACCTTTACAAAGCCCTTTCAGCTTGCCCGGACAAATGAAACACAATGCCCAGATCCTCTCTGAAATAATGTTTCCACTCACTGAACTTATATCCTCTACACAAGCCAAAAGCTACTCAAACAAGTTTTTTAAATTTGCTTTTAGAGGTCTCACGGGACTCCACATTCCTTGCTCTCTTCATTTTTACAGTTTGGTTACAATACAAACAGTTCTGCGGCTGCCAGCTTCAGTTCTAAGGGCAGTAGCATGAGCAAAGGGAATGCAGAATGCAACTTTCACATGAGAACTATCCAAACTGGGGGACTGATATGAGGGAAAATTAGGAACAGGGGCACATTTAAGAACTCTTGTCATCATTCTGACATCTTTTATAGCAAGCACCACTTAAAACTTGCTGTGGCAATTATTTTTGGGCAATCAAGTTGCAGAGTTACAGTAACATGAAGGTACAAGCAGTGATATTTTTATCTTCAAGAGTATGGTACAAGACCTATTTACATTTCTGAGGGATTAGACTTTTTCCCTCTATATATTCCAAGGTTACAGGCAAAGCTCCCATTTCATCTATCTTAATAACCCGTATCACAAATGCATGTGCCAAAAATATAAAATAACGTTAAAGGCTCCTAGTCAGGCAAAATGAGAAGCATTTTCTATTCCTCACTCAGGGGAAGAGCTTCATCATTTTTTTCCAAAAGGTCAAATGAATAGACTGAAAAAATGAGTAATTGGTAATAAAGAGGTATGTCTGATAGTTAAAGGCAATGAAAATACCATGTTATTACAGAGACCACCCATGATTTGTGATTACAGATGACTGTCAGGAGAAGACGTATGATGCTGCATCTGACAGCCGAGAGGCCAGGCAGTCACAGCTCCATGTCCAGGTCTAACCAGTAGCAAGGCTGAAAATCAGCTCCTAGGAGGCAGATGCACACACCAGGAACTTACACTGCTGGCCACATCCATCACAGACTGACACACAGCATGCTCACACCAACAGCTTCATCCTGCTCTTCTTTCCAGTTGTGGGAGCCCTCAGAACTTCAGCCCAGCTGCACTGTTGGTACAGACCATCACACAGGAGTGACTGGCACATCCTGGTCGCCCAATACCCAACCCCACTTCAGTCTTGCCTGTAGAGACACACAGGCACACATACACATCTTGCCCCTGACCCTACAGTCTCACCAGCAGATGGCCAGGACTCCCTGGTGGCCCCAACAGCTCACTCCTCCTGGCTCTTGGAGATACAAGCTCATGCTCCAGCTCTCTCCTTATTCTCCCACTTGCCAGCTATTCCAGCTTGATCTTCACCAGCAGCCACATGGTCCCTCATACGCCCTTATCTGCTCCAGTACTACGACACAGATAAACACATGGCCCCAACCCCATTTCAGGGGCTAACATTTGGTTTTACTCACCCTACAAAATGTCCCCAGCTGCCAGCACCCAAGCCTCCAGCCCAGGGTCCAAGCCCAGCTGCTGGCATCCAAACCTTCACATGCTCCAGTTGTGGGCACCAAGGACACATGGTTCCTCCAACCCACAGTCTGACTGTAGCTGCTAGCAGTGAGGCGTACAGCCTCTCCCTTCAAACAGAGTCCTTCACCCAAGCCAGAGTTAGAAAGGAATTTAACAGGAAGACAGGACAGACTGTGACGACTAGGCGCAGGGCACAGCCAGATGACAGTACCAACCAGCAGCCTATACACACATGACCAGACCTTTTTATCCCCTCGTTCCTTAAGCCTACTTCCTGAGGCACTCTAGGTCCTGACTGCAAGCCACAAACTCAGGAAAAAACAATTAGCAATTTTAAAAATCAATTTTCTCAAATAAGTTTAATGCTAACTATACAACTTATTTTTAACTCTGCATAGGACTAGAAATAGAAGTGAATGCTGGTATTCCAACTACAGTTGAATAATGAATATCAGGACCTTCAGTCAAACAAGTGGCTGAAGACACTGACAGTGTTACTTAAAATTAAATCTCATGAGCTGGTCCTATCTGCTGACCTTTACTAAGAAAGCTGATAAAAATGAAAGTCAGGAATAAAGCCTAGGCCACAACTACAAGAGCAAGAATGAAAAGAAGCACAATACACCACAAGCTTCCTGACATTTGTTCAAAGGCAAAGACATTTCACATCAGGGATGTGAATACTCTCATTCTTTGCTGATCAGGTTTTGTACTTATTTAGGTATTCTACTTGTCAGTCTTGTGAGTGCTATTTGCAGTACATTTCTGTGTTGATATTCTCACCAGCCTGCGTAGTGAGTGTACCACTCCATTCCAAACACCAATCCTAGCTGCAGACCACTTTTATTTTTTTTTTTTTTTTGCCAAGAGTATGGAATACTGAATCCTGGCACTTGACTTCAACTGTTAAAATCAATAGTAAGAACCATCAGTTTTCTCCAAGGCAAAAAGCTTGCTGGTTAAAAAGTGTAGTTGGGCTGCCTGTGCAGCAAAAATATTAGATTATTGATTTGTAATTCAACTACAGGCCTCTTGTTACAGAATTATAGCATTCTTTGTGATTCAGAGCAGGATCTCCTTAGGAAACACTTAATCCCAAGTAAATGATGCTCTAAACAAGCTTAGCAGGCACTTCTAATAAAGTATGATATCCAAGGTTGTGAAATATTTGTAGCTACTGAAAGACAGAATGGATTATGGAAGGATTTAGACATACAGTATAACAAAGCCACTTCCTCTGTATTTGAAGAGAAATTATGCATCTTCTGCACTTCAAACACAGAACCACCAAGACAATAGTTTAGGAAGCAGAATGGGAAGAAATTTTTAATTTTTTAGATAGGAATGAAATAATATATAATATCTCAATGTATATTTAGTTGAATTAAACTAGGAAAAGCACTCAGGTGCTTGCAGAGGAAAAAGTGAACACTCCTACTAGCTGACTTGCAACATTTTCCACCTCCTTCTTGGGTCATAACTTCACAATACCATTAATTATATGCTAACATAATTTAGAATTTTCTTAAGAGTCACATGGAACCTCAAGGCTCAGAGTCCTCAGGGTCTTCACTGATGTACCAGCAAATCCACAGGGGAAAATAACAGTTCATACTTCCATCAAAAGTTATTGGGTGAGACGGAGCCAATGTAGTTCAGTAGAATGTAGCAAATATTACTGCTTTACACTTCTGTTACAGCTCTTAGAGTTTTAAAATCCACAGAATGCAACAGTCAGACAGGAACTTACAAGTTAGTACTCAGCTTTCTAGGCAAACTTCACTTCATATTAAAGTGAGGAAAACATCAAAAGCAAGATCAAGTGAGAGTCAGACATGGTAAAATTGAAAAATATTATCAGGAAATGTGGCAGTACGGATAAAAGAAAAGAATCTAGATGAAGAGACTTCTCCTAAGATAGTAACAAAAATAGGGCGACTGACTTAACAGATCACTTTTTGGAATACTGGGACACAAAATTAATTTCTGACCTGAAAAAGCATGCACAAAAATATTACACTTCTTTTTCCCTCATGATAAGTTAAATAAAAACCACATGTACAAAAACCTTAAGTTTTTATTCAAGACTTGTGCATTGCAAGACAAGTCTGAATTCAGAGACAGACTGTTCAAAATATTCCAAATAAACCCATTTTTAAACATTAAAAATCCACCTGAAGTAGTTAACGCTGTGGCTACAGAACATAAATGCTTTTATTTGTATACTAAAGCCATACTATAAAACCCTGAAAAATTATAACCCTAGACTACCATTGCTACACTATTCACAGGAGAATATGATCAATAAGTTATTGAATATCAATCTAAGG